TTACTACTTGTAAGAAAATATCTGCTTTACTTCCTTAAGGGTTAATGTAGAGAAAAGGCTAACAAATTTACTCTTTTTCTTCGAACTGTTGCAGCTTTGAGAGGAGAATTAATCTTTATCAATTTACTATTTGCCTTCACAAAGTTGATATGAATTCTGAGCATAGTTTTACTATTCTGACTCTGAATTAAAAACGCCTTCTTTAAATCAAGTCAGATAGATAACTCAAAAGAAACGATCTCATAACAAACAAAAAATATATTTTAATCAGAAAGATTACTTGCGTTCACGCTGTGGCTGTTACTCCTGGAAAATACATCCTTTGTCCATTTCTTTAGACCATTTCTTTAGGTAAAAGTATGATGCTCTCTTCCGTACCATCTTTTTTTTTTTTATAAATACATTTTTATTGAAAATTTTTTGAAAATTTTACAAAAACAAAACAACCCTTCCCCAAACCTCCCCAACCCTCCCATTCCCTCCCCCGACTTTCCCAGAGCTGAATATAGGCTTAATTAAAATTTCTTCAAAAAATCCTAAAAAAGATATAAACCATGAATAAATCTAAATACATTAGTTAAACAAATTATAAAATAATTAACAATAATATATATATAGAAAAACATAAATACCAAAAGAAAAATGCTTAAAAGGAAAAAAATAAAGAAGAAGAAAAAAGAAAAAGATAAAAGAAAGTATAATAAAAGTAAAAAGTAAAAATAAAAAAGTAAAGTCTATAAAATATTTTAAATTTTAAATATAAGTTATTAAAAAACTAAATAATATTTTTTTATATCCAACTTATATTGTATAAAATCTATCCATTTTTTCCATACCGCAAAATACTTCTCTTGCGATTGATCCTTCAAAAAAGCCGAAATCTTTGCCATTTCCGCCAAATAAGAAACTTTAAAAAACCATTCTTGCAAAGTAGGCAAAGATTCCTTCTTCCAACATTGCCCTAACAACCTTGCGGCTGTAATTAAATTTAACATCAATGTGGTCTCTTTAGTATCACAATCAGTAACAATACCTAACAAAAACAATTGTGGGGTAAATTTTACCCCCCTTCTAAAAAAATTTTTTTTAATTGAAAATTTTTAAAATTTTACAAAATAAGAAAAAACAACCCTCCCCAACCCACCCCAACCCTCCCAGTCCTTCCCTCAACTTTCCCAGAGCTGAATATAGGCTTAATTAAATTTTCTTGAATTCTTAAAAAAATATATATATATATATAAACCATAGATAAGTCTAAATACATTACTTAAACTACTAATAGAATAATTAACAATAATATATATATATAAAAAAGAGATAAATATTAAAGAAAAAAAAGAAAATACCTAAAAAAAAGAATAAAGAGAAAGAAAGAAGAAAAGAAATATAAGAAAATAAAATAATAATAAAACATATAAAGAAAAAGAAAAAATAATACAATCTATAAAATATTAAAATTTGTATATAAATTATTGATAAACTAAGTAATATTTTTTTTATATCCAACTTATGTTGTATAAAATCTATCCATTTTTCCCATACCACAAAAAACTTCTCTTGCGATTGATCCTTTAAAAAAGCCGAAATCTTTGCCATTTCCGCCAGATAGGATACTTTAAAAAACCACTCTTGCAAAGTAGGCAAAGATTCCTTCTTCCAATATTGCCCTACTAACAACCTTGCGGCTGTAATTAAATTTAACATCAATATAACCTCCTTAATATCACAATCAGTATTAGCTAATATTTTTGCAAAAATCTTATAATCTACATTTAAAAGAGATATAGGTCTATAATTCTTTGGTAGAGTAAGATCTTGATCTTCTTTTGGAATTAAAGATATAAAGGCTCTGCCCCATGACGGGGGAATCTCTAAACCCTGTAATATATTATTAAAAAGCTGTCTTAAAGGTTGAATCATCTCTTGTACCAAAGTTTTATAATAAATAGATGTCAAACCATCTGTACCCGGTGCTTTACTTAATTTTAATTCTTTAATCACTGTCTCAATTTCCTCACTAGTAATTGGACTATTAATTTCTTAAAAAAATTCTTTGAATATTCCACCATATCTTAATCCAAAAAGCTTTTATATTTTTACACGACCACCAGATATGATAGTAAGTAGCATCCAAACATCCACATCTCCAACATTTAGGCTGTAAGTCAGGATACATGCGAGACATTTTTTGTTCCGTACCATCTTTATAACGACTCAAGCTCATTGTGCGACATTCAATGGCCCATGCTTCTTTCAGACAAAGCAATTCCACCCTGGCTTGTGTCCAGGAAGTCTCCCAATGACCTTTTGAGACTCCTCCCACTGACCCATCAACATACCTAGCATTTAACCCAATAACTGCCAGATATTCTAACATGCTGATACTTGCTCTCTAGTTAGGGTTACACAGAGCTATAAAGTCCATGGAGCTATACGTTCCAGAATAACTACTCATGACAGAGGCATCATAGGACTTCACACTCAGGAGTGTCCACAGGGTGTGGTCAAAAGAATCAAGAGGTCAGCCAAGTTCATTTTTTATGCACATCATACATAAAAAACAGGTGGAGTTTCAATTGCACCATTGTGGCTGCCATAATTGAGGTTTTTTTTAACCACAGCTTGCAGATATCCTTGATCACAGCTTATAAAATCTTTTCTGCCAAAGGCCATAAGATTGTTCATCACTTTTGAATAAAGAAAAAGAGGAAATACTTAGTGAAATTGAAAAATTATTTAGAGTTAACTCTGTGGTGGCAGTGCAAAAGAATTTGCCAAGAGATGTGGTAATTTACTTTGGGAAAAGATCCCTGCACAACGAAATTATACAAGCTTTTTATAAGAAGAGATTTCAAATTGCTTCACAAGATGTTATAATTCTAAAGGAGATCCCATCTAAAATTTTAAGAAGAAGAAAGGAGTTTGCTTTTTTAGCAGATGAACTTAAAAAGAGACGAATCCTGTTCAGATGGGATGTTCCAATTGGAATGGTGGTGAATTACCTGGGGATATGTTATAGACTTAATACTGTTTCTCAAGCAAAAGACTTTTATACTTCAGTCCTGGGGGTATGTTCATCGCCATCTATTAAGTTTAAAGCTTTGGAAGAAAAGAAGGTAGAAATGCAGTCTGAAGAGCCTATACTTATGAAAATTGGGAAACCTCAGTTTGAGGGGCCTCAACAAGTTGAGATGGAGGAGAGAGGATAACCTGTGCAACATATAACTGTAAAGAAAAGGAGCAACAGAAGAAGGTTAAGGAAGCCTCACAACTATTGGTTTCTGAATCTGCGGGAGAAGTAGGATTTATAAATTTTTTGGAGCAACCTTTAAGGGTAGAATTGCAGTCTGAAGAGCCTATATTAATGAAAAATGGGAAATCTCAGTTTGAGGGGCCTCAACAAGTCGAGATGAAGGAGCAAAGGACAACTCGTGCAACATATAATCGTAAAGAAAAAGAGCAACAGAAGAAGGAGTTTAAGGAAGCCTCACAAGTATTGGCTCCTGAGTCTGTGGGAGAAGCAGGATTTATAAACTTTTTGGAGCTACCTTTAAGGGCAGATTTCAAAGCACTTCTTTCGAGATTTATGGATAAGAGAGACTGACAAGGATGGAGATCGAATGAAAATTCTAGATAAGAAGTTTAAGTTTAAGTACTTAGTTTAAGTATTCAAAAGAGTACTGAGTCTGTGGGAGAAGCAAGATTTACAAACTTTTTGGAGTTAGCTTTAAGGGCAGTTTTCAAAGCACTTCTTTTGAGGTTTATGGACAAGAGAGACTGATAAGGAATGTGTTTATTGTGGATGGAATTTGTTATTGGTAAAGATTTAAATGTGTATAAGGGAATTTTAATGGTTTATGGACAAGAGAGACTGATAAGGAATGTGTTTATTGTGGATGGAATTTGTTATTGGTAAAGATTTAAATGTGTATAAGGGAATTCTAATGTTTTAAGTAATGTTCAAATTTGTGTTTTGGAGGGAGTTTATAAAGAATGATGGATAATAACATAAGTATGATATGAAAAGGTTCAGAGTATATTATAATGTGTTTAATGATTGGGGTATTATTATTATTATTATTATTATTATTATTATTATTATTATTATTATTTTTAAGAGAAGATAACTTGTTTAATTAAATGTACCTAGATTTGTTTAGGATTTATATGTCTTTTAAGTTTTTTTTTTGATAGGAGAGAAGATTATGGAGATTGAATGAAAATCTTAGATAAGAAGTTTAAGTTTAAGTATTTAGTTTAAGTATTCAAAGAGTATTTAGTTTTAATGGTATAATGAAGGTTTATATATTTATTTTTGTGTTCTAGGATAAAGAAAGAGGGAGAGATTAGATTTTATATTGTAGGTATAGATATTCAAAGAAAGTAATGTTTAAATTTGTGTTTTGGAGGGAGTTTATACAGAATGATGGATAATAATATAAGTATGATACTAGAAAATGTTTAGAGTATAATGTGTTTAATGATTGCAATTATTATTTTTTAGTGAAGATAACCTATTTAATTTAATGTATTTAGATTTGTTTAGGATTTATATGTGTTTTAAGTTTTTCTTTTTCTGAAAAAATTTAATTAAGCCTGTACTCAGCTCTGGGAAGGTTGGGGGAGGGTTTGGGAGGTTTGGGGAGGTGGGGGAGGGTATGGGAGGGTGGGGGGGGTTTGGGGAGGGGATTTGTTTTGTAAAATTTAAAAAACTTTCAATAAAAAAAAAGATTGTTCATCATTTACTTAGCCATAAAAAGGCTTTACAAATCTCTGTTGTGGACACGGTCCTGAAAGTGTTGAGTCAAGCGACACTTGAGAAATAATCCTGCTCAGCCTCAGGCGATTTCTGTGCTCTAAATCGGATTTTAGAGCTTTTCGGAGATGGGAGGACGCTTCGCACGGGCAACTTTAATTGTTTTAAAAAACACTCGAAGCAGGAGACGTGGCTGGAATGACAATAGTTTGCATATGTCATCGTTTTTGCTTCTCTCTCCTAGAAAATGCTGTTCAGGACGAGTCCAAGTGAAAGACAAATTGAAGTATATTTTAGACCTCAGAGGGATTAATATCCAGCTCCGATTCTCGTTCTTCTCTCGCTTCCCCGCGAAAAAGCATCTCTGGCAAAGCTGTTGGAGAACCTCCACTCCGACAGCAGTCGAGAGTCAAATCCTCTAGGGGGAGCCGCACAGCTCTCCGCTCCAATCCAGAAGTCCTACCTGGCATAGACGGACTCTAGTTACTCCCTGATCGAGGTTGTTGTGCTTTTAAACGCATGCGCAGCCGCGCCCCGTTGTGCCTCCGCCGCTGAGTTTCAGGATCGGGTTTCGCGGGCAGAGCGAGAAAAAGAAGTGGGAGCTGTTGCTGACTCGTCGCCTGCGGCTGGGAAAGGTGGTATTGCTGGCCCCCCGCAGGTAAGTCCCGCTGCTAGCTTTTCTTCCTCCTCTTTTTGGAGTCACCCAAAAGCTGTAGTTTCAGAGGAGACATGACGTCCAGTGGCATTGGATTGCAACTATCATTTACCTCTGGTTAACGTGGTTGGAGATTCTGGGAGATGTAGTTCGACACAGTTGAGGGCATCGGGTTGCAGAAAGATGCAGTTCAACCTTTTCTTTTGCGTCGTCCCTATGCCGCCGCCGTGGCCACCTGTGATTAATGGAACCGCGTTTCTTTCCCCAATCCCTCGGCAATCGCAGTTTTTATCTCTCCTTACTCAGTTGTTTCTGACGGCACTCTGACCGAGCGCGTGTTTGAATGCCTAGGTTTGAATCTCTTTGCCCACCTCCGGCCAGCAATGATTCCTTGCACAAACACACACACAAGGCACTTGAAATTATATCCAATTTTGTAGATGGGCTAACACCAGAGATCTTTATGAAGTGTCTTTAATAGTTATACAGTATGATGCTTTTAATTCGTACGGGAGAGGAGAACATAGTGTGGTAAACAGACGATATAAATATAAGGATAATGGTATATTGGTATTTCCGGCTTGCTAACTCGGTATTATACCGTGCATTCAACATTCAGAATCTCCTGTTAGGGCCTGAGCATCCAGCATCCATTGCGCTTTCTTATTTTCAGAGTCATCGAGCAAATCTGCTGCTTTGCTCTCATTAGTCTAGTCTAGGTTATTTCTCAGGTTCCCTGTATTCATAGTTAACTCTCTCAGGCCCAGAATCTGCACATTTGAACTGATAGTTTGCAACATTGCAACTGATTGTTTTCCAAGATGTTGCAGGCACTCTTGTTTTTCCCCAGAGGCTAAACACAGCCATTCTGAAAATGTTTATTTTGTTTGTCAGACAGCCAGAACTACAATAATCTAAATTGGCTGAGGGAATAATGAAGTATATGTTACTCAAGATTTACACTGAAAATCTTTAATGAAGTGTTTAATTAGAAATTTTGTAGGTTAAGCAGAATTTATTTTTTAAAATTGTGTTTTTAATCCTTCATTGAAATTAATAGAATTTGGATTATTTTAAAAATATTGAAGTTGTACATAGCTCTTGGAAAATTACATCTTATAAATAATGGGAAATTAATAATGCATGCATTTGAAAGCCATGTACCCGATTGGTGGTAAAAGTTAAATACAATCATATTTTATATCATTCACTTTACATATGTTTCATGCACATTGTACATGTCCATGAATCATTATTTTTAGTCTGTTCTTCTGGAGTTGCAGAATTTTTGTATGATTAACATCTGAGAATAAGGAAGATAAATAATTCATTCTAGTCATTATGTTTTTAATAAATAACTAGTCTGTGTATAATTTGTAGTTGATGCCTTTTTCTATTTAAAGGAACAATACTTGTGGAAGAGAATTCTGGTGGAACACTTTTTTTTGTCAATAGAAAAACTATTTTGACTAGGTACAAGGAAAAAGTCCTTGACATTATATAAATTGAATGACTTTTAATTGTTTTGAGGCTGAAATATTTCAATGAATATCCCAGAGAGGCACACTATTTAGCAAAGCTGAGCAGTCAAACTGAAAATGTTTCCAGAAAGTTTTTCATATGAGCTCCAGTGGTCTCCAAAAGTATGTCAAATACAAATTGTAAAGTGGCAGGTAGAGATATTGTTAAGTGCACTACTGAAAAGTAATCACATTATTTAACTTTAATTTAAATGTAAATCTGAAGCAGCTTTTATCCTGACCATCTGTTATTTTTATCAATGTAGACTTTGACATGTTGCTTAAAGTCCAGTTCCAGACTTTGCTCCTCCCCCTCCTCCCCAAATGTTGCAAACCCCTTCTATAAAATATTCATTTGCTGCAGTTACTTAATATTTCATACATACATACATACATACATCACAATCCAGTAAACATTTTTGAGGCAATTATTTCAATATACTTCTGTGTCTCCAGTCTTGTCCTTAATAAAATAGCTTAGATGTAGAAACCAAATATGAATTAATATCTATAATTTATGGATGAATATGATCATGTTTTCTCAAGGTCTAAGGACCTTAAACTTTCTTACTAATCTGACATCCAGATGCAAGGGTGAAATTGAAAATGCTTTAGTGAGGTCTTCCCTCCTATTGTAAAATAAATAGGGCTATTGTCAAGCAAATCATGTGGATAATAGCCAGACAGAACTTGATATCTGCCCTGCAAATTATTGGATATTTTGTAAATGTTGTAATAGACAAAAATGCTTCCAGTTTTAAAAGTATCTTAGCTATTCAGTCTTCTCCCTACTTCAGCGTATTAATCAATCCAATATTCCTTCAATGGTATTGGAAGTCAGATTTAGGAATATCTTCCATAGTGCTGGAATCTATACTTGTGATTCAGTGGTTCATTGAAAGATTGGTTCATGTCTTCCCTTACAGTACTTCATTCTTATAAAATTGTAACAAAGTATTGCCTTTGATTAGGAATGTTCCTGGACAACCTGAAGAATTTTATATTAGTTATGTTTAGGATGACCAAACACCATCTTGCAGTTTCCTGGTTTTTTAGAATAAGGTTATGTTAATTCAAAGTTTCCTGTTCATAGTATTGATGAGAGTTGGACACCCCCTCCCCAGCCCAACAAAGAAATAATCTAGGAACACCCCAACTAAACTGGGTCAACAGCAGCCTGAGGCTAAAACAGCAAACACTTGACACACACAATGAGGAACCAGCTAGCAGCAATCAGGATTAACACACAACAATAAAAGTAATTAACACCTTTTAGGCAAGAAAAAGGAACTAACAATAGTCACAAACCAGCAAATCAAGAAAGACAAATTTTAACTCACCAATTAGAAATGGTAAGTTTGTTACCAATCAGAAATGACAAGTTTGGAAACCACAAAAGGGTATAAAAACCCCTGTTTAAAGATCACTCTGTCTAGCTAGCCGGGGACTCGAGCTGAATTGTCACTCAACGCTGATCCTCGAAATTAAACCTCTTTCTGGTAGCTGGCTTCACGATCTATTTCTTCTGCACTGTGCCGTCAAGGGGAATCCCGGCTGGAAGGACCGAACGGGGGAGTTCCTCCCAACAATCTGGCGACATACGAAGGGACTTCCAGCTCACCCAGCCACCGGACCGGGCCCGGAAGAGTCATCACCCAGCCGGCAGCGGACACTTTGATCCGTGGGGAAGCCTCCTCGGACCCTGCCCGGTCGGCATCGGGTAGTAAAGGGAGTTTTTGAGTCTTACGCTCGAACAGCTACCAGGAAAGAGGGTAAGTGCCACCAAATTTAAATCTATTAGGTTAAAGGGTCTGGGGGAACGAAAGGAAGAATGCATGAGTGTGTGTGTGAGGCATCCTCCTCTTAGAATCAGCTGGAGCTCGCTCCCTCCGTGTGCCCTCTAGCCGCACCCCGACCTGCTGCTAGCTCCAGTGGAGCCGTGACCGGCGGAATTCGGGAAAGCAAGGGGGGGCATCGGAGCGTGAGACCTTCTGGTGAGAGAGGAGGACCGAGCGGGCAGAGAAAGAGAACCCTATTCTGGGCAAGCCAGGACCCCTTCTGCCAGTAAATATCAAAGCAGTAGCCCCGAGCGGAGGTGGCCGCTCACCTCCGAGAATCTGTATTAGGAAAGAAGTCTCGCAAGGAGACTTTGACTGTATTGGGGGAAAGAAGTCTCGCAAGGAGACTTCGACTGTATTAGGAAAGAAGTCTCACAAGGAGACTTCGACTGTGTAGTGTATAGAAAAAAAAATACAGACTTTGCTTAGGGCTTTGCTGGGAAACCAATTTGGCTAAATAAAGGTACTTAAAAGGGAAAATAAGAAATAGTGATTCTCTCTCTCTCTCTCTCTCTTCTCTATGCAACCACGTGGTATGTTTAAAATATGTGCCTTCCCTAACTTGAGTTATCTGAAATTTATGGTGGGAATGAGTAGGATGTGTAAAACTAAGACTTCTGTTCTCTTGTCTTTGTGTATATATGTTTGTCAAAGTCTGTGCATGAGAGGTAAATGTGACTGTTAACTGTTTCAAATCCAAAGGAAAAAGAATTTTAAATTCTGCTAGAAATTCTGCTTAAAATAAGCCACAAGAAGGAAATACCTCACTCTGTTTGTCTGGCCAACAAACAGAGTGAAGAAAAGTGTTTGTTTGTTTGTTTTTCTCTGTCTCTGTGTACGCTCAAGAACAGCCTTAAGTTACTAGGAGGGATTGCTTTAAGTTTATCTGTTGGAAAAGTTTCACTTGCATTTACTGTATGTGTTTTATCTATCTTTTTCCTGAAAAATGTGTGTCTATCTACAAGAGCCTTTTGAAGCTCAAGTCTGCTTGTGTGGGGAAATAATTTTCCTAAGTTACTTTTCTTATCCTATCACTTACTGGTGAAACTACTATGAAACTTTTCTGAAGCAAATAAGCATTTTCTAATCTCTAAAATAATGTTATCTATTTTAGAATAAATGTTCTCCTATCTCTGGAAAGTTGCACACCTTAAAATATTACGCTTTTAAAATTATTTGGAGTTTTCAGCATTCTCAAGCTGCTTAGCATTTTTTTTTCTCCTCTTCCTTTCAAGTTGCAAGTTCTTGTCCATAATATGTTGCAAATGGTCAAGTTCAAAGGTGAAACATTTCATTTTGTTGTTCCCCATTTGTCTATGTTTAATAACTGCAGTTTTAATGCCCTTTTCAAACTGCCTGCAAGCTACCCCCCTTCCAATTCTTTTCCTGCCCTTTGTTCTCCATACCTTTTATCTGCCTCTCCTGGTAGAGTCCACCCAGAAAGCGCGGGGAGACCTTGTTCTTATATCTTTCAGCCCTGAAACCCTCTCCCAAGCCTTTGGAAGCAGAACACACAGACCCAGATGCTGCCTCCATCCATTTGAGCCATGGAATTGAGTTTTGAATCCAGCCATCCACTAAAAAGCCACCATGCAATCTAAGTGGGGAACATCTTCCCAAGTCCTACCATTTACCCAGATGCCTGTGAGAGCTGCAGCAGGAAGGTGGTGCCATGTGAAGCCTCAGAAGAGAAAATTAGACTATGGGGGGAGGGTGGAAACTCATTGTAAACTTTTATTTCTTGCCCCATTTGTATTGTAACAAGCCAGTTGAATGTATTAGTGGAGAGATGGCACTTGGGAATATGTGGCAGAACAAGTACTGAACACCTTGGACTTCTATCTGGTGGGAGGGAAAATTTATCCAGAATGTTTGTATTGACTATTTTGTAAAAGTAGCTGCATATACATGCACACACACACAGACACCATTCAGAATCACACTTGAGTCTATCCCCTCCACCTACCTTTAGTGAAGTTCCCCAGGCTGATTTTTGCTCTGTTGCACCAAAGCTTTGAGGGATCAACTTCCAACAGATAACAAGGGGGAGGGAACTAGGCCCCCTCAGGTGATTTGCAATTCATATGCCCTGACTAAGGAAGCAATAGGAAATCCCAAACTTATGCCCTGAATATTTTGCACTGTTGAGCTCAGATTGGGATTCCTAGAACTCATTATGTGCAATTTAAAGAAAATTTAATAGCCTGGCAGTTGGGCATTACAAACCTGGATGCACTGAATTAAGAGCTAAGGCAGGAAACAACCCTTGAAACTGGGCAGCCAGTGGTCATGTACTAAGGAGAACCATGGCTGTGAAGAATTTTGGGGGGTATGCAAACCTGACTGGAAGCTAAAGGTGACATCCAACATTTAAGAGAACTAGCACAAAACATTGGGCACAACCAGTCATCCTGGAACCTTTCCTGGCTCTTTTCATGGTTACCAGACTTCCATTAGTTGAAAATTCTTATTGGTAGTATAATCACAGTCATAATAGGTGGGGCCCTCCTTTGTTGCCTATGCCAATTAATTCCTTTAGGGTTAAAATGCCTAAAGGTCTGCACAACTCCCATCAGAAGCAAGGGACAGAGCAAGAAAACATCTCTCATGATGTGCCAAATTGATCACCACTACCGTATATATGAACCAGTTGGGCTAATCACTGATACATCAGTAATAGCCCAAAATGGGGGAATTGATGAGAGTTGGACACCCCCTCCCCAGCCCAACAAAGAAATAATCTAGGAACACCCCAACTAAACTGGGTCAACAGCAGCCTGAGGCTAAAACAGCAAACACTTGACACACACAATGAGGAACCAGCTAGCAGCAATCAGGACACAACAATAAAAGTAATTAACACCTTTTAGGCAAGAAAAAGGAACTAACAATAGTCACAAACCAGCAAATCAAGAAAGACAAATTTTAACTCACCAATTAGAAATGGTAAGTTTGTTACCAATCAGAAATGACAAGTTTGGAAACCACAAAAGGGTATAAAAACCCCTGTTTAAAGATCACTCTGTCTAGCTAGCCGGGGACTCGAGCTGAATTGTCACTCAACGCTGATCCTCGAAATTAAACCTCTTTCTGGTAGCTGGCTTCACGATCTATTTCTTCTGCACTGTGCCGTCAAGGGGAATCCCGGCTGGAAGGACCGAACGGGGGAGTTCCTCCCAACAGTATCTTATATTATAAATCATTGATGCTGTTCAATATTGCTGTCTTGTATTTTTGTCTTTGGCTGTAATAAAACACATCAGGCAACTAGTTGCAGATGACCTGCTGAGTTGGTAATGGTAGAAGTTAGACCTTGATATAATTTTTGCCTGAATCCTTCATTTCCTTAGACCAGGGATAGGCAACCTTGGCTCTTTTATGACTTGTGGACTTCAACTCCCAGAATTCCTGAGCCAGTATGGCTCAGCATGGAAACCTCTCCCTTTCTTCTCAGCATGGGCTGGCTCAGGAATTCTGGGAGTTGAAGTCCACGAGTCATACAAGAGCCAAGGTTGCCTACCCCTGCCTTAGACTCTATCCTAAGTAATGTTTGTTGATTACATAGTTTTTATGAAGACTTTTTAATATGTCTTTAGATCAGGCTTGAATCTGCTAGTCTCTACAATTTTCTTGGCAACTTTTTCAGAAGTAGTTTGCCTTTGCCTTCTTATTAAGGCTAAGACAGAATGACTGGTCAAGGTCCCCCAGCTGGCAGATCTAGAACCTACATTTCCCAGTTTCTAGCATTGTGACTTAACCAACAAACTGGCTCTCTTCGACACATATATGGTCATTTATTTTGCCAAAATTATTCTCAGTTTTTAAAAGAAGCTAATCCTTCACTGTGGTATATTAAATATTTATGATCAACTGTTAATCTCATTAGTCTTCATTCCTCATTGTTCTACTCTTTTGATTACATAGGCACCTATTTGGTTACAGGAACTATTTTTAACAGCTGTATTGTTGAACTAAGCAACTGCTAATGAAGTTGACGAAGTACTAAGTAGTAAGAAAGGTAAGTCATTTAGAGGTAATACTGATTTTAGTTGTCCTTTGGACTTTGCTTTCAGTTGAAGATAGGAGATTGATAGTTTAATCATTGCTTCTATATGACAAATATTTACTATTTTTTGGTCAGATATTAATCTTTATTAAATGAGGTAGATGTTAAACATACTAAGTAGAGTCAACATTATATCCAGCTTTAGTGCTCGAAGGACAACTTGTTGGTAACACTGTAAGTAACCCTTGTTGTTTGTGTTCTTGAGGCACATTCAAATCTCTATGTAGTCTTTACTCTTTTTCCTTAGCCTGGTCTTAATATAAACTTGGTGTCTAAATTAAAAAATGTAGGGCTTTCTTGGGGCTGGAAAAAAAAATAGGGATGTTTATTAGCAAATACAGAATAACTGAAGGGGAAATAATTTATTTGAACAAAAAGCCCTTAGTTTTTAACAAATAGCAATTCTTTTCTAATGGTTGGCAATATCCTTTAAATATTATTTAAACTGCAATAAATAAATAAATAAATTATACCCTTCAGAATTAACAAAGCGATTACATTGACTTTTTAAATGGGGGATAATTTGGCTTTAAAAGAACCTAACTTGGATTTTCCCCAAAATATTGGCTATAATTCCCATCATTCCCAGTTTTAGAATGATCCAAGTTATAATCAATACTTTGAAACATGTAAGTTTGAGAATACATGTTAGACTTTATAAGACAATATCAAGCTGCTAGTTGAACTTTTAGTTGTTTTCAAAGATACTCCTGTGCTGTTTCTACACTCTAACCTATTTCTTTTTCTTATTTATTGGATTTATATATGTCTTTATGCCAGAATTTTTTTAAAATGTTTAAAATTAATTTTTAATCTTTTAAAAGTATTCCTCTTTACCCTGAAATTTTCTGCAAAGGTTGTATTTCAGGCTATATTTGTTGTCACTACAATGAAAAATAGCCGGTAATGAATCACCAAAACCAAAAGGGATGGTCCTCTCCAATAGTCTCAAAGTCACAGGGGTGTGTGTGTTAAAATAATCAGGCCATAAAACAAGTGAAATGCCTTAAATCTAGGAGTGTTGTTCCAATCCTATAAAAAAAAAAATAGCTCAAGTTAATTAACATGCCTTTGTTGTAACCCAAAAGAATGTAGCAGTGATCTTAAGTCTTTAAATTAAAATTCCAACCATTGTTTTCTACCACAAAAAGTTATAAAACTTTTGGGTGGGAGGGGCATTGCAGTCTTTTCATCCTTTGTCTCTAGGATATTTAATGTTTTTTTCCCTTGATACATATGGTAGATCAGGGGTCCTCAACCCCCAGTCTGTGGACTGGTACCGGGCCATGGCATGCCAGCAACCGGTCCGCACAGATAAGCAAAATCCCATCCGTGGGATGCAGGTAGCATACAAAACCACACCCCTTCCAGTCTGCAGAAAAACCTCTCTCCATGGACTCAGTCCCTGGTGCCCAAAAGGTTGGGGACCACTGCGGTAGGAATGTGGCTCTGAAACTAGTTGCTGGTCTTTGAACAAAAGAAATCTGGCAAGTACTGTGATTCTATTGGCTTGGCTAAAGTTTAACCTGATTCCAACAGGGTTGCTTTCATTAATGATATCTGGTTGGTGGATAGAGAGATATAGCTGCTTGGTGGAAAAACATCATAAGAAAAGAACTGCCCTGTGGCATTTCCCCTGACTTTTTGTTACTTTCTGGTCTTGTGTTTATTGATCCTCCAGACTTCTCCACTGAATCAATCTTGCAGACTTCATCAGAGTCTGTGTCTTACCCCCAGCAATTTAGAGGACAGATATACATGTAGTCCTTGACTTATAACCACAATTAAGTCCAAAATTTCTGTTACTAAGTGAAACAGTTAAGTGAGTTTTGCTCTATTTTATTGCCACAGCTGTTAACTGAATCACTTCAGTTGTTAACACGGCTGTTAAGTGAATCTGGCTTACCCAGTGATTTCGCGTGTCAGAAGGTCACAAAAAGTGATCACATCACCCAGGGACACTGCAACCATCATAACTATGAGCCAGTTGCTTAGCATCCAAATTTTGATCACATGACCATGGGGATGCTGCAACGATTGTAAGTGTGAAAAATGGTCATAAGTTACCTTTTCAGTGCCACTGTAAGTTTGAATAGTCATTAAATGAACTGTTGTAAATCGAAGACTACCTGTAATGGCTCCCCAGCTTCCAGAGGTTAAGTCAATGTGAAGCAGAGGGAGGTTGGCATATTGGTTACCATCTCTTATGATGTAAGCTTTGTTCTAGTGTTTAACTTGCTCTTTACTAGCACTGAAAAAAACCTACGTCACCTTGATGAATTTTATATATTTACTGGTAGACAGGAGTCTCTAAAGCAGGCATGTCAAACTGCTGGCCCGTGGGCTGGATACATCATGCTGAAACTGTGTCCACCCCATTGCCGGCAATGGGGAAAAAGTCCCGATACGTCGTGCGACGACATGTGATGTCGCAAGTTTGACATGCCTGCTCTAAAGTGACATATATTATTGCAAAATTCTGCTATTCAGGCACAGATCCTGTTTGAATACTGTATATTTGTGAGAACTGAAATGAATAAGTGGGCTTAAGTTTCAGTCATGACTGTTTACTTGCTTTTTCTTGCTGTATCTGATTGCATTCTCGTCTAAGAGCTGAGTAATAATAATTATAGAAAGAGAAAAGTATAGAAAAGTTATTTACTACCTGGAGCTTTTGAGTGAGGTGGTTTATAAGTCTTATAAATAAATACTCTCATACCCATGCATATGGATGTACGATAATAGTTTTTTAAGGTATCTTAAATTTTGAATTATGTAAATAATCTTAAATAGATTTTTGGAGAGACTTGTGGATTTACGTTCTGTAGGTCAGGGCTCTTCAACCGGTGGTACGCGTACCATCAGTGGTACTTTAGCACCTGGCAGGTGGTACATGAGCCCTAGCCAAATGTAGCAGGGGAGGGAATCTGCGAAAGTGGCGCCGCACAGGCCTGGAGGAGATTAGCTGGAGCTGCAGAGCTTGGCAGAAGCCCCAGGATTGGTGCATGTGGCAACATGGTAATTGGAGTTTTCCGGCATGGAAAAGAAGAAGAGGAGGGTGGAGAGAAGAGAAGGTATAAAAGGGGCAGGTTCTCCAGCATGATGACTGAAGAATCCACCAATGGGTTATTTCAGTCCTCCTGCCCAATCAGATTAAGTTGTCACGCCTCCTCATTATCTAGCTCCTCCCAGTTTCATCTTAGTCTTTCGCCCATGAGGACGTAATAATTTGACTCTCTTCATGAAAAACAGGTCAGGCTAGATATTTAATTCATTGGTGGATTCTTCCTAGAGTATAATAGTGTTAGATTGGTTTCTTTTTCTGGTGAGTTTTGGTAATTTTGTTTGCCTTCCTTTCTTTCTTTTTCCTTCCATTACCTGGGAGCAGAGCTTATCCCTCTCCTGGCTGAGGGGTGTGTGTCTGCCTATGTTTTCCTAACTATTCAGTTAGCTGCGTTAATTCCCAGGGTAACATCAAGGTGGGGGGGTTGTTCCCTTCCTCTCACTAGCTAAGGAGATTGTTTTTGATCAGTATTTTGGAACTACATCCAGTTCCTTATGGCGGCCGCCATTTTGAGGCCATGTGGAGCCTTCTCTGACTGGGATCGGTCAGAGTCATTCTAGCGGCGGCCATTTTGAATTCCCAAAGTTAAAGTTAATTGTTGCAATCGGACTGTTAGCAAGCTTCCTCCTTGCTTGTTGTGCAAAATTGGTTTAAAACAAATTCATTATTGTTTCCAGAGCCATTTATTTGGCTGCCGCTAAAGGAGGCGAAGTTTCATTGCTGCGGCAGCGAAGACACGTGGGCACTTAAAAAAAGTCTCATTTTTGTTCCTTTTATTATTTACTGACATAGTCCTTTTGGAATTCAACTGAGGTCCGTTCCTTCTCCTACTCCTATCTAGCAAAGTAGTTCTTCTGAATCGAAGTGTCCGCCATTTTGCCAACTACTGTCTCATTGGGAAATGCCCAGGACAGGCAGGGACGCCATTTTTGGAGTTGGTTGTTTATAATTACCTCACAATTTAATTAATATTGCCTTTCTCATATTTATTTTCATCCTAACTTGCGATTAAGGTTCTGTTTCAGAATCCACTATTCATTGCAGGCCCTGCTTGCCATTCCCTGCCTGAGTTCTGCCACCCTGAACCTAGTGGTTGCCTACAGGATCCTGACCATTGCCACTAGCGAGACACGTGTGATTTCGTCACCATTCTGATCTGGTTGAAAGTGCGTCCAGCACATTGGTGATGAGTGCTCCACAGCGCCCAGCGTGAGCCCAGGTTGCCAGGGGCAGTTCACGCTTTTTTCTCCACGTGCAGTCAGTCCCGCTGAGGGCTCCTGACGTCTACTGCAGGGTCACTCAATTTCTGAGTCCTTCTTGGGGGCATTACATCGACATGGCAGAACCCACTGAGCCACAGCCTTTGGACACAGGCAACACCATGGTCCAAGCCGAGCCGGTTTCTGAAGTGCCTACAGGTATGGCCAAAGCAAAGTCTAAATATGGCAGGAAGGCTGGTAAGACAAGCAATAAGATGGCTGACAGAACATATAGAGCCCTGGAGAAGCAATTCTCCCGGGCCCAACGCTTGTCAACTGAACAGGATTACATACCTCCTGGTGCATCCCCACCTGAGACACATGTACCGTCCACATTGGGAGCATGGTTGCCTTTGAGTGCAATCCAGCAGGTCTCTGATCAAACCTTTGGTCAGGTGGGTCCACCCATGCTTGGGGAGGACCTTGATTTGCCCGGCCCATCATCTGCGCCCACTGCTACATTAACTCCAACGGCTGCAGGGTCACGACCTTCGCTAGAGCCATCTTTTTCAGCACAGCTCCAATCGTGGATATCACAGACAGTGATCCAGGCCGTGGCATCATCGGGTATCCACCAGGCGTCACCAATTCCTGGTCCTTCCTCTGCACCAGCTTCCTCATCTAGATCC